GCCATCCACCACTGGAGCCAACATCCTTTCTTCAATATGTCAGGTAGTTTTTCATTACTGATGCTGTTACTGGAATGGTGTGCAGGGGATGGTCACAAATCATTTTCAAGGTCACCATTAAGGGTAGTCCACGACTAATAATGCACTGACAAGTTCAGAGCTGCATGAATATTCGTGTTCATGAGAATTAACAGATTGATTTTCACCTAGAGAGGGCCTGCCTGGGGTTGCTCCCATCTATGGCCCAGCTAGAAGCTCAGAAGGTGCACTTATCTGTGGCACAGTGTTCAGAGGGTTTGGTCATATATTTGAAGCTGTAGCAAAATTTTGAAGGAAAAATTAGACTGTGTTGATGTGCTCACACTATAAAGGTTGCACTTAGTAAGGCAATAAAGGTAACTCAATGTGATCAATGAACTTGGGGACAAAAGATTGTTGGTACAAGTATAGTGTAGGGGAGACCTGGTTTAATAGCAACCCATGTGCAAAGTATTTTAAGTTGTTTCAAAAGAGTAGGAACTGGAACCAAGCTTTTCAAAAAGTCCAGCAATATACATGTCTACCAACTTTAGGGACTTTGACTTAATAATCAACTTCTAGCATACTCTCCTAAGCAAATAATAATAGATTTTGACAGAGCTATGTATACATGAATGTATTAAATTAGTGCAGCATTAAAGTAATGAAAAATGGAAAGAATTTTAATTTCCAATAATAGAAATGTTCAGAAGAATATTATGCATTCATTAAATGTCATGTTTGCAAAGAATATTTAATGACATAACAATCTTTTCACTTTACGATGCTATCTTTCTAACTCAAGTTGTGCCTTTAGTGACAATGGTTTTTGCTTCATGGAAAATAATAGGAAAACTAGGTGGTAAATGACATCATGGAGTCATAGGTCAAGCCTTAGGCACCTAGAGAGAGTATCTGCCTCATCTAAAGGTTGAAGCCAGCGATGCCATTTCCCTGTCCAGTGACCCCCAGTGGAAAGCATGCTCAGAGGCAAAATTCCTCAAATTCCCACTTAAGAAGCATCAAATTTGAAGAAGAAGAAGAAGAAGAAGAAGAAGAAGAAGAAGAAGAAGAAGAAGAAGAAGAAGAAGAAGAAGAAGAAGA